CAAGACTGAGCCCCACATTAGTATCCATGTGAAGGGCAACTTTGTTTTTCTCAGATTCTCAGAACTTCTTGTGTTTGAACTGTAGACATGCCCTTTGAAAAAGAGAGATTTAATTATAATTGGCTAGATTTGCAAGCTTGCTTTATTACATTATTTCCTGACCAGTGTTTCTTAATATTGAAAAGAAATGATTATGAAAACTTACTTCAGGGCATTTCCAGGCTAGCAGGGCTGAAGCAGAACCTGTCATTGCTGGTCTAGTTTTATTTCTGGAAAAATTTGCTAAACTGATCCAAAGTTCAAGTCCACAAGGGCAACACACACACACATAACGTTCATGCACGCACTTAGTGGGTTGGTTTCAACTCCTGTTGTGGGACTTTCAGCCTGATGCCTTTAAAGCATACATAAGCAGTTGCTCTGATAATCTGATGACCATCTTTTTCTTGCAGTGTCCTGGTAAAAATTATTTTGCAGAAGTATCTCAGAGTCAGGAATATCCTTATTTTGCCTTTTTGCCAAGTCGCTGACTGTCAGTGGAGTAGAAGTGGGAGTGGGGAGGAGAATCAAATTCAGCATGAAGTATGGGACTTAAGCCTAAAATGTAATATGGAATCTTTACCTCTGAGGAGAACTGTGGTATCTTATGCCAGAAAACAATACAGGCTCATCCAGCTAGGGATTAGCTGATATTTTTCTGGCTTTTTGTTGCTAATGTTTTTATGCAAACCCCATAAGAAGAATAAAAAATCAACTCACTTTAGAGGTGGTAAGGAACTGGGCAGGGAGTTGGTACTCACCTGTGATTTCCTCACTCTGGCACTGCATGGCTGACATCTTCCATATAGTGATGGATCTCCAGAGCTCTGCATGATCTGCTTTTACTGCTGTAGGGGCATTTAACCACAACAGCAATGAGCTTCACAGGAACACCTTTAGAAATATGCAAGAGCTTCATCCAAAACCTGTTGAACTTGTAAGTACATTTTCTTGATTTTAATGGGGTTTGGATTAGATTGTCAGAGAACTTAATGGAGCTGCTTCTGACATTTTATGCAGTAACAATCTGCAGTTTAAGCCTCTGACCACACTTTAGCAATATGAAACTCAAAAGACTTCAGTGTGGCAAGCCTGTGCTTCACTACCCTACTTGAAGGGGAAGAAGCTTAACATATAATAGAAATGAGCATGAAAACTGCTTACTTCAGAACATTTCCAGGCACAACTTGTTGCAATAATCCATTTTCGTTCCTGGTGGGGGATTCCTTCCCATTCCTGTATGGATTGAAAAAGACTTCATCTCCCTAAACACCCCAGGATATATTAAGATCAAGACTAGAATGCATTAGAAAAGGAAGTTTCTGTCCCACAGAGACTTCAGAATCTGAACATTGGTTCTAGTTTAAACCAAGTCAAGGAACTGACATTTCAAATTTTTCGGAGAGTGAAATATACCCCAGACCTCTGATCCAAGAATGTCAGCATTTTGTTTCAAACTGTGTCCACCAAACCATTACTCTGAGCTGTAGATTAGAAGTACAATATTCCTATTCACTCCTTTGCCTAGCGAGCTGATCAAGCAATATCTTCTGTGGTGCTTTTCCTAACGAGGCCTCAGCCACTCCTAGTCAGATGGGTATAGCCCATAGGTCAGTGTCTCAGGAGGATTTTCTAGCTCTGCACTGTAAGTGACTCTACTTTTCCTGAGAGTTGCATCTCTCCTACTGTGTTGCATCTTTGGCATCTGTGATACCAGCAGTTCCAAAACCTCCTCTCTGGGTTCTGTTCATGTTATGGGTGGATGCTGAAAGAATCAATTCTCACTTCCTGTTCCTTGTTAACTCTCTGCAGATTGCGGGGAGGATGGTGGCATAATTTCACCTATAACAGTGAGTTCTCTGCAGCCTTGATGGAGAGTGAAAACAATGTTGTGGAAATTACATATTCTCTTCTCAACTCAGCCAAACCTACATTTCTTCTGATCATAGAGACAAAAGGGCTTTTTTTCATGAACTGTGTATTTTTTCAGGAACATTTTAATGTTTCCCTGTCTGATTTTTTGCTTTCATAGGAGTTCAGCCTATACAATGTTTTCATGTAAGAGGTACTAAAAAATAATATAAGAGATCTGGAGTAGTGTTTTTCATTTTAAAGCATCACTGACTCCATTGCAAACACTACCAACCTTTTTACTGAATGTAATTACCTCCAAAAGATGGAAGCAAGATTTCCCTGGGTAGTGAAGGGAAAAAAGAAATGCTGTGAATTTGGGAACATTTCTTGTTTCAGGAATTAGTTAATCACTCATGAGGGTTTTTAACTGAAATTTCATACATATCCCTAGACCTCTGGATACCTATTAAGACAGACAATCTAATAGAATAAAGCAAAAAGTTCTGCAGAAACCTTGGGGAGAAATAAGAAATTTATTTAATTTCAATAAAATTTCTAATAACATAAATTTATCTGAAAGACTACCAAGTACAGGAAGATTGAAACAGGTTTTTTACATACCACGTAAGTTTTGTTGTTCCCACGAGGTCTCCATTTTTCTCATACTTGTATCTGAAATACAGTATTTTAACAAAACAATAATTTTTGTGCTATACAATGACAAGCTCAAAAAGAGCAACAAATCTCAGTATAACTTCCTTCCACACCTGAGATTTTCCTAGTAGTGTCCTCTGCAAGTAATGACCTGTCTCCAAATTGCTCAATTTATAAATTAACTTTAATCAGCATACAGCCCATAATAAGTGCAAGCTGGTGACATATGAAGTTTCAAAGGCCTTAAAATAGTGAAAGCTGGTTTTGAAATTGGTTGCCTCATAACTGGATTTAAGATCCAACCCTTCTCACATCGAGGCAGTTCACATGTTCTTTTCAAAATAGGCAAAGCACACAAATTTGGATATTACTCTAGACTGAACCATTGAGTGAATATGAAATAAGTTATGAGCAGATACAAAAGAGAATTCTGGCTGTTGCTCTGATAGCTGTGTTCCTCAGCAGGACCCTTCTCACTGTGGATCTAGGGAGCTGTAATGCACTTGAAGGAAATTAATCTGATTTGTAGGCTTTACATCATACAGTTTTCAGATCATGCAAGTGCGTTTTTTCACATTTTGCCTATACAGAGATGTTTGTTAAAATTAAAGCAAACTGGTCTGTGTATATCAAAGGTGGTTCAGTTCTTATAGGGATATTCTTATTCAGAAAAAAAAATAGATCTAAACCTTTCGTGGTATCACTGATATATTTGATATATCTGTACTTGGACACTCTGTATGGAGTAGTCACAGTCTTGGTAATCTTAACTTTATCTTCAACTTTTAGCTTCAGCTATCTGGTATGATAAAATGTCTCTTGATGTCTTGATATGACTAGTTTTGCAGGGAAATGTGTCATTTACGTGTAACTGTTACTCCATTAACTCTGATAAATTCTCCTGGAGACATTATAATAAAATGCAGAAGCATAGGAGACTGACATAGTCCTGATCTGGTAGAAGTGGGCATAGTAAAAGAAATTTGATAGTAAGTTTCATCAAGGCTAAATTCAAACATATAATAATTTAAATTAAATTAATTATACTGTCAATGGGGGGCGGAGCAGGGAGAAGGGAAGGAAACTGCCATTGTGCCACTAGTCAAATAATGATGATAAAAATGGGAATTAAATTGCTAGAAGTAAATACTGGTTATTAATCAAAGCCTGCCTTTTCACAGGAAAGTGAAAAGAAATGTGAAATCCAGAAATATATCTCACCCTCAGTTTGCAGACTGCAGTTCTGCACTTGTAGCTTTGCACAAAGAAGGGATAATAATCTGAATGTTTAAGTGGGCAGGTTACACATCCAGCTTTTATGGGCCTGGATGTTAAGTCACCTATTTGCTCTTATCAGTTTCTAGGACCAAGCTCTCTAACCTAACTGAAACTCACAGATGCAGGAAAATTTGAAGCTGAAATAAGCACTTCATTTAAAATTCCCTGTGTTTATATACACTCTGTGTTTGGCTAAGAGTCTTAGCACAAACTCTTTAGAAGTAGAATATATACACAAAAACTTTTTCATTTCTTACTTTGCATGCCAAAATGCTGGAAGGCCTTTCATTTTCTAGTATGTATAAACATAATTATAACACTGTATAGACTTGCTTCATTTCTTGGATTTCAATTATTTATGTGCAAAATTCATAACTTGGATGCAGAACTCAAAGTTAAAAAAAAGGCCTACATTAACACTGAAATACTTTTATATGCCATTTGTTTAATTATAAATCTATTAAATTATAAATTTATATTTGATTCTCCTGGGAACTATTGTTATTTTGCAAACTGAGATAGCTAGTTCATCTGTTGAGGTTTTACAATATTTAGCAAAATAATTTGCACATAAACATAAAGTCGGTTTCAGAGCAGTTAATTGCATTTCTGACTTAGTTCTTTTGTTTTAACCATTCCCTCCTTCTTTATCAGTTCTTTAACAATGTTTGAACACAGGCATTGGTAGTGCGGAATGGGATTATTATCAAGCATAATTAAATTCATGTTGTTTTCCCAGCAGCATAGTGGGTAAAATTTCACTGAGATTTCAGCCATCTTACTATTTATCACCTGTGTTGTTCTTTATCTGTCTGCTTCCTATCTGTCTTCTTAACTATGTCGGGCATTTTTCTTTGTGAAACTCTAAGAGGTGTAATTTCTGGTAGGAGTTTGACCAAGAAAGGTTCAAAATGCCCTAAAAAAACAATCTCCAACAATACTTTTTTCCTTCTATGGGCTGCAAAAGCCATTGAGCTCTAACCTGCTCACTATCTCATGTCTGAATTCAGTTCAAACTCTCAGCCAGATTTGCTCAGTTTCTTTCATTGCTGAGTTATTTTATGGTCCTCTAGAGATGCTGAGAGAGAAACTTGGCCGTAACTAGTTGCAAAGACATATCAAGCAGTCGTTCAGTAGGTGCTCATGTTGAAATGCACATCTTTCTTTCTTGCCAGGTTGTTGGCTGTGACCGCCAGCTGGGGAGCGCTGTCAAGGAAGATAACTGTGGTGTCTGCAATGGTGATGGGTCCACCTGCCGGCTGGTTCGAGGCCAGTATAAATCCCAGCTCTCAGCAAATAAATGTAAGCTGTCCCTTCCGGTAAAGTGTCAGCTTGCTGTCTTAGTGAAATGCATGGTTCTTGTAAACTAGATTTCACCCCACTCCTTCTCAGGCAGTGAGATGATCATAGTCTGTCTGGTTGTTCCCATGGTTTCTGCCATCTTGGGTTAAATCAGGCTTCCACAGACTACATCTGTGGTCATGGAACCGCCATGAAAGGTGGCACCAGTATACACCCCATCTCAGTCAGCTAGTTTCCTGGGAGGAGTGGGAGAACAAGAGTGGTTTCTACCTATGCTGCTCTAGCTGTATTAGCAGACTAGGTTTGGGACTTAGTCCACACTGATCTGAACAGAATGTTTTGTGCTGCTCTACAGGAGAGGGGAGCCCTGGGAGGACGATGGTCCCAACCTGGCACAGTGCTCTCTCCTAGGTCTATGGCCGCAGCACACCTGGCTGCATGCTGAGCATGGTCACTTAGTCTAGAGTCCAACAAGGTGCCTAAATCACCAGGAGGTGCCTACACGGATGCGTACAGAGAGACATGGGCTTTCTTGTACACTGTCTGAGACAGCTTCGACTCAGAGTGGTAAAGTAGCATTAGTGTGCCCCAGTGACAGGGTTGGTTTATCCTGGACCCCAGGTAGGCTTTTTTTTAGCCTGGTTACAGCACCATAGGTGAAGCTATAAAAGTTTTGGGGTGAGAGAGAGGGGGCACTTTGAAGGAAAAAGAAAAAGAGAAAAGAAAAATAAAAGCAAAGGAAAGTGAAGAAAAGAGACGACAGAAGGAAGGACAGAGGGAGAAAAGGACTAATCCGCTAAAGAGTTCTATTGCTGAGGCAGGACTACACATTACAGTGCAAAAGCAATAATTCACAAAGATTTAGGAACGGAATTTCACCTCATTGTTACTGTTTCTGCAATGTGCATGAACAGATTCAGAAATCTCCAGGCTGCTTGAGACATGGTAGTATTTGTGAACTTTTTTGGCTAACGCTTTTTCCTGTAGGAATAATTCATTGGTTTTCTGTTGCTTTGTGGTTAAAAGGTTCTCTCTCTTCTACTGAGGATAAAGGCACTAATATATTATGCACAGTACTAAAATGTTAATAAAAGAGAGTTCCTGCTCCAAATGGTTTGCTATTAAATAAAAAGAATGCTATATAGGTAGAAGAGCAGATGGCAAAGAACATCATCTTAGACTGAGAGAAATGTGAAAACTGTTAGAGAATGGTTTGTTCAGATGCATTTGCATGCAAATAACTACTATACGGAACTCAAGTAGATAATCAGATTTTATATTCACTCTGTATAAACCATGTAACATTAGTCTCTCTCCTGTTGTAGATATGTATTTTGTTATGCACAGTATGAATTTTAAATATATCAAAAGTGCTCCTTTAATTGGCTTTTTACAATTCTAAAAGCACACTTACAAATCTCCCTTACATGTGTGAATTTATGTGAACCTTTTATGTGGTTTGTTTCCAATCAGTTTATGTACATGCTGTGAAAATTTGAGATTTAAAAAGTTGACAAGCTTTTCAAAATCTACTCTGTGTTTATCTTCTGCATTTATTCTCCCCAGCACTGTTCAAATACCTGTGAATTTGGCACTTTGTGTCAGTATCTTGCTTACTTGTCACTGTTGTATCTAGCTACATAAGCACATCTGGGATCAGGGCTTAATTTATTTGATGGAATGACTAGATTACATTTGTTTTAATTCCAGGTTATTCCTATAAAATAGTCTTTTCTTGTCCAGAATTATGTCTATTTTGTCAGTGGTACGACCAAGGCATTAAAAGTCTGTGTGAGCCAGACTGCCATGCAATGTAAGAAATATCAGAAGGGGCATGTGCTGCAGTGACCAGGTATCAGCAGAGGCTCACTTGGGATTTTTATTTGCATAGCAGAGCACAGTGTTCAATTTTGGGAACTGTGCTGGGAAAATTGCACAGTGACCTTTACACCAGTGCTGTCCCAATTGTTTCTAAAGTTGTTTGTGTCTCAAAACCAACTTAGACACTATCTTGAGTTCATCACACTGAAATAATTTTCTCTCAGTGCTCATATCCAGTTCCTGCTCCATGCTGTTTATATCATGCAAAGACATATGAGAAGGGTAGTACTGGAAAGAAATTCATAGAGCTTTTAAACACTTAGCACTTGCTATGGGAATAGCTTCCTAGTATTTATTGGGCTAATATACACCTCCCAGTGGCCTCAGAAACAGAAGCATAGCAGGGTAGGATGCAATGTGAAGCTGAATTTTATCCTACATTTGTATGAAAAGGGAAGCACCTGTATCTATGTTTTTGTTTTTGATTTGTTTTTTTTTTTAAAATTATT